TGGCACAAGGGGCCAAAGTGTATTTTCAGCGATATCTGCATTTTACAAACTCTCCTGCATCAAAATAGCCATGTGGAGAGATTCTGACGATAACTATCCCATGCCTTCCAAGCCACTGATTTTTTTGAGTATAGTCTCATAAAATCCAGTTAACTTTCTTTCTCCTTGCTAAAAATTGAAATTTTGCCATATTAGTTTTCTTTGTAGGCAAACATGCCCGGAGCCAGCTTATTTTCACATGCTGAATTGTCCATGCTCATAAGGACTTGATTTTACATTACGCATTTAAGAGCCAGAAAAGAAAAGAACACTGGAAAGTGTCAAACCCATGCTCTTCCTCTTTGTTGATTCATCTTTTATGTAATTGAATGTATAAATATTAAAAACAATGAAACGCTGCAATCACTGCGAAAATATTACTACTAGGTAATGTGCTTGGACACCGAGTAAAGCAAACGTTCGCCCTCCAACAGAACTCCTATTCTGAACACGAGCCAACTCATACGCTCAGCTACGCAACACGAGCAACCAGCAAATCTGAAAACCCAAAAGGATGAAATATGGTTATTGCCTTCAGAAATAAAAGTTCAAATTGATATATCATCCTTATTTGTCACAACATGGCCCAAGTGCCGAAGTTGCTGCTTCTAACAATTCTGTATTTTCTCATGACTAATCTAATGACCTTGCATTAGATTATAAACATTAAAGCTAATTTAAATGTAAAGAACTATTTCTGATCAATGTGTATTTTAATAACTCCCCTTCAAAAAGTAGCATTCTGTTCCCTAAAATTCATTCAGGGAAGTAAGTATTAAACAAGCAGTTCCATATGCACAGTTGCTTAAGCATCTCAGTGAGTGGCAAAAGCTTCAATCTAGTTCTCTTGCTATGATAAACCGGGCAGCGCAAAGTTAGCGACTTCATACTAGCACTGAAGATTTTTTCCTTAAAGTTCTGTGAAGGAAGTGGGAAGCAGCACTGGGAAGGCAGTGAGGTACTAGCCAAAGATGCCTGGATGCCACAGAACTCAGCAGTACCCCTCGCACCAGGCCAAAGGAAGGGGTTTACCAGGAAAGCCTCAGCGAGGGAGCACAGACGAAGGAAAGGTGCCAGGTTAAGGAGTCACCAGGGATTCTGTTCCACTGGCTGCTGCTGAGCTGCTGAGTGAGAGCAGCAAAGCGCTTGGTGGTTATTCCTGAAACAGGGATAAAAGCAAGGATAGTCCATTTCCTGAAATGAATGATTTTGGTGGGGCTTATGTACGGGACATGAGCACATGAATAAAACAATGCTTACACCTGCTAGTTAGCATATTATTGTTACTCCTGACAGGAAAAAAGACCCAAACCTGTGTTAACTCTTTTTTTTTTTTTAAATCAATGCAATCCAATAGCAAAGCATCAATCTGCTCTGAAAATTAGAGTGCTTCTTATGCCAGTTCAGGTGTCACTCCTTCCAAGCCCATCAAGAAGGGTGACACCCTTCTCAACCTGTTGAGAAGGTTTGCACACATCCACTTGTGCACAGGCTCAGCACATTACTCTCCAGGAGTACTGCAGATATTACTGATTTTAAAAAGGGAGAATCTAATCTAATAATATTCTGACATAGAACATAAAAAGTTACAGGAAAAAAAAGGATATCACGATAACACAGTGAAAAAGCAGAAGAGAAGATAACACAACAGAGCAAAGAAAGTAGACTTCTTTCTCCTCAAGAGGTATTATGAAATATAACTATATTATTTCAATCAAATTCTATGGACTCCTCAGTAGCAAAGAAAATAAAACTAAAGTTACAGAAAAGTAAACAGTATACAGACTGCTTTAAGACAAACTAAATTCACTTAAGAAATCTGATAATGTTCTCCTTACGATTTAATTTGACACCTTCACTTCCACTGCTGTATCACTGTATGCATCCCACAAGGTTTTCATCATAAAGCTGCCTCGTGATACAGGGAATATCATTAGTTCGCATTTGTAGGTGCAAAGGTGGTATAAAGCTGCATTTCCAAGAGTGAACTCTGAACCTGGGAGCCTCCAGGTGACCATGGCACCTCCGCTGGCTTTACCAGTGGCAGCAAGGAGCCCTGTGCACGTGGATACCCAGCCTGGCACGGGATACCCAGCCTGGCACGGGATACCCAGCCTGGGTCCAAGCACGCAGAAGCAGCCACGGGTCTCTACTAGAACCCCTTGGCAGAGATCACAGGTAGCCTGTGACAGAGCCCGAAATTCGAGTTTCGGTTCAGTTCCAACTTTGACAGCGAGCTACGCCCTCCATCAAGGAGCCACCATGGTGTAACAAGGAGTCCCGAGACGCTGCATGTCCTCAGCACGCAGACCAGCAGCAGCTGCAGATGGGGATAACTGAGCCCTGGACGGGAGCAGTGGCGCTAGTGGCTTCAACACAGCTCGCCACATGCTCCGGAACACTTACGATTCCACAGGCACCTGAATTCTGGAACCAGTAGTTTACAGAGTATCAGCATCTCGCTGAATGAAGAGTGCTACATATAAAATGAATGCGTGATTACTTCTGATACGTTATGCAGAAAGCTGACATTTAATATCTTTAATTATTCAAAAAACTATGGAAGTGAAAAGCTTGCTTCATCACCTTGAATGGGAAAATAAACACGGACCAAACCCTCTCACCATCACTCCTACCCTCCTTTCCTAAATAAAACTCCGGACAAAGCCAATGGAGGTTTTGCCAGGGTCTATGACAAGATGCCCCAGAGGCTCAGAAGTATTCAGGGCTTATTTCTAAAATATTCCAACTTTACCTCAAAACAGAAACCATATAATAAAGGAGTTGTCCAAAGTCTGTGCCTGCTAGAAACTGTTCATTGCCCTGCTGTGCTCAGATGAAGAGCAGGATGCAACCAAGTTTGGAGACCAAAGGCCAACTTCCATGATGTTTCCCAGGCCCCTTCCTTAGCGCATCAGGCCCAACTTGTTCCCAGCAGTCCACCTAGTTGTGCTACGGCCACATCCAGCTCTCCGACTTACGTGTTTCAACCAAATCACCAACCCCCACGCAGGAACACTTATTCTACCAAACACCTGTGTGGTAAAGTAAGTCCCAGCTTTTACCAAAATAAAAACTCCTGAAAGCAAATGGAGGTTTCTAGTCACAGACAAATCTAATGAAATCTCCATTCTCCCTGTAACTGGGCATGTTGCTTTTATTGCTTTTTCAGCTATGAGGAAAAAGTATTTTTCTGCTTCCTCTAAAGCTTCTTTTATGCCCATTTCCTGACAAGGATATTCTGCCCTTCTTTTCTTTGCAATTTGCTAACACCATTTCAGCATTAGGTAAGAACTACACTTAGCACTATACATAAAACCAAGGTTCACTCCTGGTAAAGCTGGGGGAAGATTATGATCACCCCATCATTTCTAAGACTGAATTCTAWCCATCCAGAAGACTTCATCACACAAAATCATGTTAAGAAAATAATGGCACTTAGAGAACTCTAATCTGACTCGTACCTGAAAAAAACAAACAAACAAAAAAAATCAGTTCAAAACAGTGAGTCCACAGTTCAAAGCCAATCAGCAAGTTTTTGAATTTCCTGATGTGTGTGCTTTCATTTGGTAAAAACTGTTGCACCAGTTACTCTACACAGAACAAGATCCTTGTCAGTAATGACATAAAACTGAAAGTCTCCTACAGAACTAGTCTGTCATAAAGAATTTCAGTAATTTAATTTGGTGTTTATAGCCTAATCTCAGACCTATACACACTAATCTCATTCCCTATAAAATCTGGGGAGAGGAAAAAAAAAATGTGTGTAATTCTGCAGGAACTGCTGAAAACGGCCGTTTCCCCCCTCCAAACCATCTCCCCCTCAGGAGTTATCCGAGCCTTACGGCCAGTTTTGTGGTCTTAATATCACACAGGAACAGCTGCTCCCAACAGCCCCCTTCAAGCTGGCCTGTTCAGGACCATCACTTATCCTGTGCCTGCTCCACACTGACTGGGAAAGGTCAAGACTCTGTTATTAATCATGCACACTTATGAGCACTAAGCTTACCCCAATACATACCTTGTCTTATTTTTTTTTAAATTACGTACACAAAACCTCCATATTAAGAAAAAAACAGAAAGCTGCCACTTCACCATTCGGGGCCAGACTCAGCTCAGTGCCACCAGGGACAACTGTGCAAACAATATTCTGAACATCAGTCACGTTGTGCCACACATTTTCAAACTCTCCTTGAAACTACTATATCTACTTTAGTTTAAAGGGTGTCAAGTGCTTCAAACARTGTCAAAACTTTTCCATATCACCATGTTACCAAAAAAAAAAAAAAAGTCTGCATACCTAAAAGCTCTATGGAAATACTAGTAAATTAGTCACTAAGATTTGTCTTTCAAATTGATAGGTAGCTACATTAATCAATGCCAAGAGGAAAAACAGTATCASAGAAGGAACATGGATGGAATTCTAATTAATTCCCAGTTTGTGTGTGAAAACTAAACTCCTGTTGCTACAGTATTATAGTTCTGCTAGACTCTTCACCAATGCTTCATCTCCACAGATCTTTAAACAACTATCCTATTTGTTTATATTATTTCCTACCACTACTGCGAGCTCCAAGCTTCAAAGGCCATTTACTTTCTTACTAAGTTGTTGACCCAGCATCCTGCACTCTGCACATTCTAGTGACTACTCTGGTTTAAAACTTTAGCCTTGATTCTGTTGACTACCTTTACAAAACAAGGCTTAGAGAAGGGGAAAAAAAAAGAAGAAAAAGAGAGAAATGTGAATATTGACAGCCTTCTAATTCCAGGGTTATTAAGACCCATCCTACACGCAAACTTCGTAGTCTAACAGTTGCTGCAAATGTCCAGAGAAGTGGTGTTTTCCGAGGTGCCAAAACCCAAACAAGCAGCGCCTTCCACGCGGTGCGGGCAGCCCGCAAAGCGCTATCTTGCTGACAGCAACGAAACTCCTCTTCTGCCCGCGCAGCTCACATACTCACCCAGGAAGGCAAAGGGAAATCGCACAMGGACGAGGACGGAGCTCTCTCGAAGCCTTTATCACGTGACAGTGACCTATAAAGCACCAAACAGAGGCACATCATGAGCACGGACCCCGGCGTTACAGCACCGCACCTCGCCACAGCGCCGAGGGCGCGAGCGGCCCCAATGCCTCTGAGGGCACAAGCGGCCCCAACGCCTCCAACTCGCTTCCTTGGCGCTCCCAGCCCATCCCRAAGCTCCCACGAGGCCGGGGCGCAGGAGAACAAGCGGAAGTCGAGGAGCATCGGCCAAATGGAGGGGCTCGCGTGGGTGCCCAGGAGCAGCAGGACCCGGGTGGGCTGCGACTCCTCGTGCGCGCCGACAGGCCGGCACGTGGGGTGAGCAGGGGGATGTTTCGGGGGTGGCCGGGAGCAGGGAAGCGGCCAACAGCGCGAGGCCCTGGGGGAGCCCCTCGCCAGCTGCGACGCCCCCGGCACGGCCGAGGCGGCGTGGGGCGCTCCCCGCACACACGCACACACACACACACACACACACACACACACACACACACACACACACAGAGGGAGCCGTGGCGGCCGTCCCCGCCGCGCCACCCGCACACGTACATGTGGGCACGGCGAGCGCGGGGCCGCCCGTGCGGGGAGACGGGGCCGCGGGCGGCCGCCGGCCGTTGTTTTGTCCCCCCCGCACAGCCGCTCGCTCGCTCTCACACACACACACACACACACAGAGAGACACGGCCGCGCATGGCGGCCCCTCCGGGCCCGCCTCAAGTTCGCACCCCAGTTACAAAATGTCGCTGCGCGCGGCTGACAGGACGGCGGGCGCGCGGGGGGCCGCGCGCGCGGCCCGCGCCGAGGCGGCGAGCGAGG